TATATAACTCAATGTCACCACTGTATCAGCAGCAAAGATTAACAATTCCTTCACATCATCTAAGGCTCTGGTTGTTATTGTATTTCTATGATTATATAAAAAAAATTTTTTTTACCATTGACATCTGTTAAATCGCAATCCAAACAAGGGCCACATAAGCCTGGGTCCTTTTTCTTCTTTAATGTTTATTTATTTATTTGAAAGAGTTACAGAGGTGGAGGGATCTTCCATCTGCTGGTCTATTGCCTCCCCTCCCAACAGCTCCCCCATGTCCTAGGGCTGGGTCATGCCAAAGTCAAAAGTCAGCAGTTTTTTCTGGGTCGCCAGGTAGACAACATGGGCCCAAGCCACTGGGCATCCTCTGCTGCTTTTCTCAGCCCAGTGGTGGAGAGCTGGACTAACAGTGGAGTTGCCAGGGAAACCAGTGCTCATATGGAATGCTAGCACTGAAGGCATCAGCTTGACCCATCATGCCATAATGGTGGCCCTGTCTTTTAAGTTTCTTACAACCTGGAAAGCATTTCTCTCCCTTCTCACCCTTATAGTATAGTCTTTGAAAAAAGATTTGTTCGGGCCCGGCAGCATGGCCTAGTGGCTAAAGTCCTTGCCTTGAACACGCCCGGGATCCCATATGGGCGCCAGTTCTAATCCCAACAGCTCCACTTCCCATCCAGCACCCTGCTTGTGGCCTGGGAAAGCAGTTGAGGACGGCCCAATACTTTGGGACCCTGCACCTGTGTGGGAGACCCGGAAGAGGTTCCTGGTTCCCGGCTTTGGATCGGTGCAGCACCGGCCGCTATGCTCACTTGGGGAGTGAATCATCAGATGGAAGATCTTCCTCTCTGTCTCTCCTTTCTGTATATCTGACTTTGTAATAAAAATAAATAAATACTTTTTTAAAAAAAAAAGAAAAAAGATTTGTTTTATTTATTTGCAAGACACAGAATGAGAATCTTGCATCTGTTGGTTTACTCCCCAAATGGTCTAATGGACAGAGCTGAGCCAGTGCAAAGACAGGAGCTTCTCCCAGGTTTTCCACATGGGTTCATGTACTCTCCCAGGCAAATTAATAGGAAGCTAAATTGGAAGTGGAACAGTTGGGACTCGAACCAGTGTCCAATTGGGATGCCAGCACTATAGGCAGCAGCTTTACCAGCAATATCAGAGAACTGGCTCTAGCACTGACATTTTACAAAAACTGGATCAGATACTTTGTAAAATGTCCCACATTCTGGATATAACTACTTCTATGTTTTACTTGCTTGTGCTATAATTTAACTTACTCCTTTATCCTTTCTACTTTCATTTTTTGGGGGCAACATTTCATACGAGCTACCTTGTGTGTTGCCCTGTGTGATATCACGAGGCACGGGTAAGTGTGCCTCACTTTCAGTGATGTCAATGGTAATCGCAGTGTTCATATGGTGGCAGCTAAATCCTCCACCAACCTTCCATCTAGGGCTTCAACTATTGATAATCAATCTCCCCCTGAATCAATTACTTCCTGAGTGGCTACAATTGGCGACTTTCCAGCCTCCAAATTCAATCACAGCCACCAGTTGGAATTCTACCCTCAACTAAGCCTATTCTGTTATTCTGAATTATAGTTTGTACAGAAAATCAAGATAACTCATTCCTTCCTTTTACTTTTCAGTTTAAAAACAGGATAATTATTTAATTCTTTATACTTTCCAATTTTCAGACTAAAGCAGGTGCCTCAGTTACAACTAGAGATACTTTCAATTAATTTTTACATAAACCAAAATGAGAATAGTTTTACAAAACATTAAAACAAAAGGGGAAAAAATAAGCTCTGTAAGTAAGCCCACCAATACACAAAGGCTAGTGCTTCAGACTTACCCAGTGATATAAATCAAAGACCTGGGACAATCACAAGACTCTTCAAGGAAAAGAAGTGTTCACACAAGTGTTTGTTCCTTGGATAGGTCTGTCCAGGGCCCTGCACAGTAGCTTTGCAGCTAAAATCCTCACCTTGAACGTGCCAGCATCCCAGATGGGTGCTGGTTCTAATTCCGGTGGCCCCACTTCCCATCCAGCTCCCTACTTGTGGCCTGGGAAGGCAGTTGAAGATGGCCCAAAGCCTTGGGACCCTGCACCTGCGTGGGAGACTCCAAAGAAGCTCCTGGCTCCTGGCTTTGGATTGGCTCAGCTCCAGCTGTTGCAGCCACCTGGGGAGTGAATCAATGGGCGGAAGATCTTCCTCTCTGTATGTCTGAATTTCCAATAAAAATTAAATAAATCTTTCTAAAAAGAGAGAGAATGTCTGTCCAGAATTGAATTTTAGCATTTTTGTACAGTAAATAAGAAGTTACCTTTACCCCAAACATAAATTGAAGGCAAATCTCAAACTGAAGTCTGACTTTGTTTAAAAAATTATGCTTAACAGTTACAATTGCTAATTAGCATATCCATATATATGGTTGAGATATGAATAAAAAACCTGCTTCTTCAAACAAATGAACACTGCAAGCTGAAATACTGTCAGAAAAAATAAGGTAAAAAGGACTGAGAAACATTACGGAATGATAAAATAACACTGAATGACACAAGACCATAATGAATGTACAAATCGTAAAAAAAAAAAAAAAATAGCACATATAAAATAACTATGTGAACTAACATAAATGGTACAGAGTAGAAGATGACATGTCCATCAAGTGGACATAAATGAAGACAAAGGGATCTACAAAATGTCTGCATAAAATTCCATAGTGTCGCAGTCAGAGAAGCAGTATGCAGAGAACTGGCTTCTTTCCAGTGTTCACTTGTAAAATCCTTTCCAAACATGTTTAAGGAGGCAAGCCTCTTAATGCGATGTGCTGAAGGACAACAGAGCCTGCCTCTGCCCTGCCCTAACAGTCCCTGCTGCCTAGTCGACCACATTTATGCAACTCCCTTTTCCTCTTTAAAATTGGAGAGGAGATACAGAGAGAAAAAAAATCCTCCATCCATTGGTTCATTCCTCAAGTGGCCACACAGCCAGAGCTGAGTCGATCCAAAGCCAGGAGCCAGGAGCTTTTTCCAGGTTTCCTACAGGTTGCAGGGTCCTAAGGCTTTGGGCCATCCTCTATTGCTTTTCCAGGAGCAGAATGGGAAGTGGAGCAGCCAGGACATGAACCAGTGCCCACAAGGGATCCTGGCGCAATACAAAGATTTAGCCGCTAAGCCACGCCGCCGGGCCCTCCTATCTTTTCAAGGACAACTCATAAAGACAAGACGCAGTCGTGAATACATGTATTGACAAATTGAAAAACAAATCAAAATGTAAAAAAAAAAAAAACTGCACCAGAGACTGGGAATTTGAACCTAAAATAAGGGAAAACCTGGACAGTTTATAGGAGAACATAAAGAAAAGCCATAAAGTGTGGTTGACGCATACCTGTTGCTGGAGAAAGCGGAGTGTCTGGTTTGCATCCTGTTAGAAGGCATTGTGATGTCATTAATCTGGAGCTCCCTTGCAACTCTGACCTCCAGGTCTGTCATACGACAATTCCAACGTCACTGTTGCACAGTTGTCTGCATTACTGTGCTGGGACTGCCGTAAGTTTCCCAGTACCACACACTGAGTAACTTTATTTTCTTACAGTTCTGCAGGTCAGAAGTCTGAGACCAAGGTGGCATTAGGGCCGGCTGTTTCTTAGGACCATGAGGACAGGATTTGTGTCAGGCCTCCTTTACCTGTAGCAACCATTTTCCTTCTCTCGAGGTCCACATCCATGCCCACATTTCCTCTTTTAAGAATATGATAATCGATCTTGCTGTAACCTAAACATCTCTTTATAGGCCCTATCTCCAAGTATGGTCACATTCTGAGGTAGCTGGTATTAGACCATCAATATGAACTTAAAGGTAGACATAATTCACCCCAAAACACTAACTTTAAAATAAGCACCTCTTGATTTAAATTGGTGTAAATGGGCCTTTGGTGCCTGTAAGTGAATAATCCTTACCAAAGTGGCTATGTTTTCTTTGACTATTTGGTAACTAGCCAGGTGTTCTTTCCAACTTTCCCAATAGTTAAAGCTTTAAGAGGGCAGTAACATGGTGTTTACGATTGACTGAATTCTGCTTCCACAGACCAAGAACCCTACAAACAATTGGTACAGAAAGCAGAGAAGGCTTAAAGAAGACTTGAAGAACAGACATAGTGCAGTGGCACCTAAATCCTAGCTCAGAACTGAAGCATTCATTCCCACAGCAGCCAGACATGCTGGCTGCTCGAGTAAGTCCTATCCAGAGAACAGCCGCGACAGCCACCTCACCCCAGGTCATGCTTCTTCCGGAGAGGCAGGCAGCAACCCAACAAGGGATGCCCAAGAGCCCATTCTTCCAGCCCCCACTCAGCATGTCACTGAAAGGTCACTGGAAATTCCAGCAACCTGGGATGGGCTGTAGCATCCATCGTAAATGCCTTAGGGTCCATCTCTCTCTCTCACCTGCTCCCATCACCAGAGGTCCTGATCCTGAGCACAGTCTGCAAATAAACTTCCTGAACACGAATCTATGCTAAGTTTATTTCCTAGGAAACCTGGCTTTCAGCTTATCACATGGCTAACATGTTAACAAAGATGAAAACAATTAAGCCAAAAGAAGGTGAAACTAACCAGATCCAGGGCTAATTTATCCTTTTCCATTTCTTGCTTTTAAAGAATCCTGTCTACCTACAACCTGCCTAGACACAGGGTCCTGCAGAGTATCCTCCACCTGCCACACCACCTATGCCTTCTCACCAGCCACCTCTACACAAGCAGAAACCTGACAGCAGGGGGTGCCTTAACCCCAACACCTCTCCCTGGGTCCTGCAAGCTGCACCTCAGGATCTGGTGGAGCGCAAAGACAGAAGGAGGCAGAACGTGAAGCAGAGGAATTCACCTGGGACGAGAAGCTGGTCCTGCCAGCCTCTCTACCTGCTCCCAGCTCATCACTCCTGGGGAGCCTGGGTGCACAAAGCACAAAGTGCTGCTGCTGAGGAGAGCGACATGGGCCCTTCTAGTTGTGCTTTCTTGCTGTTCCTTTTGCTGGGTGAGTCTCTGAAGTAGCAACAGCACTAGTAAGACAGTGGTTTGTTAAGAAGTTTTGGGGACAGTGCTGTGGTACCATGGGTTAAACCACCACCTGTGACCACCAGCATTTCATATGAACATTAGCTTGATCCCAGGTGCTCACTGGTGGCCATCTGGGGAGTGAACCAATAGAGGGAAGATTCTCTAACTCTGCCTCATAAATAAATGAATCTTTTTTTAAAAAAGGAATCATAGTTCATAGTATGATGCTTCAAGCATGTGGGATGTTACTAATGACTAGGATGACTTGGGAATGTCCTGAAAGGTTAGCATAAACCCAGCAGTTTAAGTACTCTCAGATACAGTAAACTATAATCTTTGCCTTTGTGGCATTTATAATAACTGCACACACTAAATATGCATATAAATGTTAGTGGGTAAGCCACAGTATGAAAGGAAAGCAATATCTACAGTGCAGAGGCAGGAAGTATGTTGTGATTTTAAACAGGACAGACAAGGAAGGCCTCATTAGGAAGCCTTTTGAGCAAAGGCTTAAAGGAAATGCATAACTTAGCTATGAGGAACATTTCAAGCGAAGGGAACTGGAAGTACAACTGGTGTTCCAACGATTTCAAGCCTAGGCTTGCTCATTTACTTTTCCAACACATAGTGATTTAACAGCAGGGCACCCTGAAAGTAGCAAAGAAGATAGATCAATGATTATTGCAAACTGCTAATTCAAGAAAACACAAAGAATAAGCAGCTTATAAACCTCAGCAGCACCTGACAGAACTATTCCATTTGCAACCTAGTATATTGATATTCTTGATGGTATCACTGAATTATCAGAAGCTAAATGATGATGAACGTGACTCTTAAAGCAAGCAGGTATATAACTGCCAAATTTTTCATTAATTGGTAGACACAGCACCCTTTGGCCTTTAATATCAATGTTGGAAACTTAAGAAAAGCTTGTCTGTTCAGTAAATCTAGGTATGTTACATATTCATGATACCATTTGTCTTTCTTAGGTTTTTACTCATGCTCTTGTCCCAAACAGAGAGATCTGAAATCAGGTGAGCTGTCTCAACTCGGGCCCAGGACTGCTCGGTCTGGCACAGGATTAGGGAAGAATATGGAATCTAGGTAGGGTTTAGGTGCCATAAATGATCGCTTCTCGGCCTTTTGGCTAAGATCAAATGTAGGTGCCAGAAATGGAGGTAAGTTTGGGAATGACAGTAAGATGGGAACCAGAGAAGCAGGACCGGCAGTTATTCATGTCTCCTCTTCTCCTCTGTCTAGTATGCGGGCGGCCTGTGTTCTCCAGTCTCATTGAAGGTGGTCAGGATGCTGCTGAGGGGCGCTGGCCCTGGCAAGTCAGCCTGCGCTGGGTGAGCACCCACATCTGTGGAGGCTCCCTCATCAGTGAGAGCTGGATACTGACAGCAGCACACTGCATCAGAACGTGAGTTCCAGCAAAGAGCCGGCCAGCACCCAGCAAGTTCTCAGCAAATACCTCCGCAACTCCATGAAACCACAGGCTACCCTGCAACTACGAGTTAGAGAGACAGGGCAGAGGGAGAATATAAAATGACAGAATCAGGCATGACTTTCAAAACTTTGGGTTTTTGCCCAAGTCACATCCCAAATACAAATGAGACATTCTCTTAGGCTTTTGGGAAGTCACCAAAACAAAACTCTCTCATGCACACAGAGCTACTGTGTGAGACTGCCACTCTGGTTGGTCCCTGGTGAGGCCCATAGCCAGCGAAGACTGGAGGAGCCTGCCAACATCAGTGAGCATGGAACAGATCCCCCAGGTCTCCTGAAGTCAGAAGTCCCTAACTAAGTCACTCCTGATTTTTGATCCACCAAAACTATGAAATGTTCATTGTTTTAAGCTATTATACTTGTGGTTACTTGTTATGCAACAATAGCTTACTAATACATATAGAAATCAAAGTAACAGATCATTCCAACAATAACAGTGGCAGCTCAAAGAAAACAGAGTACGGACTTTCAAACACTAAGACAAAACTACTTCCAATTAGAATTGTGCCCATATACAAACTCTCAACCAATTATGGGGCAGAAATAAGGTATTTTCAAATATGCGAAGTAGCAAAACTTTTCTCTTCTATATTTTCTTCTTTTTTTAAAGATTTATTTTTATTATTTTTTTATTGGAAAGGCAGATATACAGAGAGGAGAGACAGAGAAGAAGATCTTCCACCCGATGATTCACGCCCCAAGTGAGCACAACGACCGATGCTATGCCGATCCCAAGCCAGGAGACTCTTCCGGGTCTCCCACGCGGGTGCAGGGTCCCAAAGCCTTGGGCCGTCCTCGACTGCTTTCCCGGGCCACAGGCAGGGAGCTGGAAGGGAAGCAGGGCTGCCGGGATAGAACCGGCGCCCATATGGGATCCCAGGCATGCAAGGCGAGGACCTTAACCACTTGCGCCACCGCGCTGGGCCCTCTTCTATATTTTCTAAGACAACAGTAGAAGTGTTTCACCAAAATAAAGCAGGGAAAATAAGCACATGAGATGTAGATAAAAGAGGATACAACACATTAAAGAATCCCCAAGAAGATCATAATGATAAAGGAAGGTGTGAAGATGGTAGTTGTGTATCAGTTAAGATTACAAGAGGAGAGGGCATATCATTAATAGAATGTCTGACAGGATTCAAAGTATCAAGAGAATATCTGTACTTCTGACACAGAATTTGGGGAGTCCGGAAAAGCAGCATCCCCTACAAAATACCTGAGCTCAGGTCCCACTTCTGCTTGGAATCCAGCTTCCTGATAAATTCACACCCTATAAGGCAGGAGTGATGGTGGAAGTACTTGGGGGACCCATCACCCAAGTGGAAGATCCAGATAGTTTCTGGTTCCTAGCTTCACCCTGCCCCAGCCTTAGATATGACAGGTTTGGGAAAGTGAACCAGTGGTTGGAATATCTTTCTATTTTATTTCTATTTCTATTTTACTATTCAAATAAATCAAAATAAGCATTAAAACAGAAAAAAAAAGTAAAATTCAATAAATATAACATATAGGGTTGCTTGAAAACACTGGGAAAATCACTAAAGGCTAAAATAATCAGAACTGACTGAATAATGTAGATTGAGAGCACAGATCTTTTGACATATTAAACTGATACAAACATATGGCTAACTTTGGTTACGCTGTGTTTTAAAACGTTATTTAGCAATAAAGACCTAGTGTGCAGAACAGAAATTAAAATTGGCAATAAAGAGCAATGACTAGTAAGCTTACAAGTAATAGCTGAAGGGGGGACCCCAGAGTGGAGCACGGGGACAGGAGGAGGCTTGTATCCCAACCCTGGAGACTCCTGGATCATCACCAAGGACTATCAATACGGGCACCAAGGACTACATCCCAACTGCCAAGGAGACCACGGGGAACTGGAGTGCCTTCAGAGGCCAATAACTCTGAGGTCATCTACCCCCATTTGGATCTCCCACATGGGATGGAAGAAGCCCAAAGCCCAAATCCTTCCTCGAAGGATCCAAGGTCATCAGAACAACAGCCAGGAACCCTGAGCAGTCTGCAGAAACAGAACAGTAAATTTCCTTTGGGACTAGGGAGAGGAGCTTTCTCTGGTCCTTACTTAGTTCCAACTTTGGATCCCCAGTCTCTCTTACAATGACCATCAGGATCACTCCAGAGCTCCCCCCAACACACACACACACACACACACACACACACACACACACACACACACACACACACACGAATAGACAGAGAACAACAAGGAAAGCTTAGAACCAGACAGGAAATGGTTAGCATGGACTCACATATACCTTACTAGGTAGGACACAAAGATTAATTACTCCTTACTAAGGTATTGAAGATTTCTCTGCACACCCCTCCTGAAACTGTTCTGCACCTCAATTGTTGAAATATGCCTTATTAGAGTTATAACCCAGTTTAGACTATCCTAAAATCTGCCAAGTTCAGCAAAGTTATGCTTCAACACTATAAACTGCTAAATACTAAAATTAAAATAGACATGACACAGCTGAATAGTACCCTGTAGCCATTTTAAGGTGTATAGCAGCCGGTTCTATGTATAAACTAAAATTGAAATGTCAATGAAGTAGTCACAGGATGTAGTTAAGAACTTGCATTTTCTAACCTATTGGTTACTCATTACCATGTCAATTAACTCCATAATGTTGTAAATTGTCGTCTGTGTTATGTTGTGGCTTTAAATTGATCGGAACAATATTCTGCCAGCTCTGCCATCAGACCAGAGATGGTCTCCCCAAGAAACCGTTGAACTTATCTGGACAATAAGATGCTGGACTCTATGCTGGGTATATTCTTGCAATGAAAGAATCTTGACTCAATTTGAAATGTAGTACAGCAACTAGGTGGAGGAATCCACCTTTGGGAGGAGGGTATGGGCAGGGGTTGGGGGATTCCCAGAGCCTATGAAACTGTGTCACATAATGCAATGTAATTAATAAAATATATATATATTATAAAAACAAACAATATATATCATATAAATATATATTAATTTATATTTTATATATTATTACATATTTATATAATGTATAATATAAATATATATTTACATAAACAAGTAATATATAATTTTATATATTACGTAAATTTTATATTATTTATGTATATATATTAAAAAAACAAGTAATGCCTGAAACTAAGGAGAGTGGGAGAGTTAATGAAAGAACCAGGCAGCAAGTGAAAGATAAAACCCTTAGCAGAAGTTTGTAAGAGGAGACTGCAGAAAGAATGTCCACAGAGGAAGAAGAAACAAACCAACTCCAGCCCAAGTTGGGAGTACCTTGATGAATTCCCTGTCTCCACGCCATAAGCAGGCTTCACTTTTATTTTTAAAAAGATTTTATTTTTGTCAGAAAGGCAGAGTTGTAAAGAAAAGGAGAGAAAGAGAGCAGTCTTCCATCTGCTGGTTTGCTCGCAAATGGCCACAATACTCAGAGCTGAGCTGATCCCAAGCCAGGAGCCAGAAGCCTACTCCAGCTGTCTTACCTGGGTGTTGGGTCCCAAGGACTCAGACCATCCTCCACTGCTCTCCCAGGCCACAAACAGGGGCTGCATCAGAAGTAGAGCAGCTGGGACAAGAACCAACGCCCATGGGATGCCACTGCCACAGGTGGAGGCTTAGTCTATTACACCACAGTTTCTGTCTATACACTTCATTTTTATTCTCCTTCTTTTCCCCTTAGGAACTGGAATATTTTTCCGTATAGTGTTTTGCTGGGATCTGTTAAAACAGGTTACCCAAGTAAAGGTGTAGAACACTACGTGTCCAAGATCATCATCCATCCCAAGTACCAAAATGGAACTGCAGACATTGCCTTGTTGAAACTGTCTTCTCCAGTCACCTTCACTTCTTCCATCATGCCCATCTGCTTACCCACTATGGCAAAGCAGCTGGAAATTCCATCTTATTGTTGGGTGACCGGATGGGGAAAAGTTAAGGCAGGTGCAGGTGAGAATGGGCAGGAGGAGGGCTTGTTTTACACATCACGTTTTTGCACCTAATCTAGAACATACAAAGTCTAGGTATATTCTTGCCAGGGCAAACAATGTTCAACAAAACCAATTGACCTAATGACATTATCTGTAAGTCTTCAAATAAAATGTGGGCGGCCTTCTTTCTTTCTTTTTTTTTTTCTTTTTTGGCTACTTACACGCTTGTTTACTCTTTTGTCCCATCTGCTATCTGAAGTCTAGCTTTAGCTGGAAAAATACACGCTAACAATGGAAGCAAACAGTTTACCTCTCTCAGAGGTTAATACATCTGCTTTAATATTTATACAGACTGTACCAGTTTTTTGGTGTTGGCTTTTTTTCCTCTGTTTTTAAAGTACTGTGTCAGCTCTCCCAATTTGGAGACACGATAGGCACTAACCCAGCAGCAAAGAAACTATTACAGAAAAAATTTTAATGTACTTTTAGAATACTCACATCTTTACTCACAATTTATCAGAATTATTCTTTATTTAAAGTACTAACACAACAAAAAAGCCACAAATAATTTTTAAATCATCTGTTGTCTTAAGTTTAACTGTATCCAAAAAATCCTTCCAGGAGGAAATAGAACTGTAAAGTGACAGTACCATGTCCGAGTTCCTGTTCACAGATATATGCACATCCTAATTAAATGTTGCCCAGTGCTTTCCCAGGCTGCTCTAACCTTCCATCCCAACTTCTCCAGATGGCAGTTACCCTTCCCACCTCCAGGAGGCAGAACTGCAAGTCTTCAACCAGCAGGCCTGTGAACAACTTTACAACCCAGTGGGTGTCTTCTTCCCAGAAACAGAGCCAGTCATCAAGGAAGACATGATCTGTGCTGGTGATATTAAGGAAATGAAGACTACTTGCAAGGTGAGGGCTTTTTCCTGATTTTTAAAATCTGTTCATCTATTTGAGACGCAGAGATTTATACAGAGAGGGAGAGAACCATCTTCCTGGTTCCCTCCCCCAATGCCCTCATTTGTATCTTCTTCCCGCTGTGTTAACATGTTGTTCGGCTCTGGCTCCTTTCAATTATTTATTTTGGATTGGCAAGAGTTTGAATGAATGATGTGCTATGTGTTTTTCTTTGTATTTATCCTAATTGAGGTTCACTATGGTTTTAGTTTTTTAATCTAATTTCTATCGAAAAATTGTGAGACAGACAGAAGCTTTTTCTTGAAAGTTTCCATTCGTAACTTTTTCAAAATTTATTCTACCTTGTTTTGCTCTTCTCCCTTCCAGTAGAAAACATAAATTTGTAAATTATACTTTCTATGCCTTTAAACAGTTTATCTCAATTTCATCTTTCTCTCTGCTCTTCAAAATAGATACTTTGTAATGACTATTAAGTCACTATCTTCGGGGCTAGTACTGTAAAGCACTGGGTTGAGCCAATGCCTGCAGCACCTGCATCCCATATGGATGCCAGTATAAGTCTTAGATGCTCTGCTTCCAATCCAGCTCCCTAACAGCCTGGGAAAGCAGACAGCAAAGATACAGAATTTATCAAAATAATTTAGGACTCTCTCTCTTTCCCTCTCTTGCTGTTAATTCTTTCAAATAAATAATCTTTAAAAAAAATGAAATTGGCACTGTTGTGTAGCAATGTCAGTTTCACTCTCAGCTGCTCCACATCCGATCTAGTTCCCTGATTATAGACTAGGAAAAGCAGAGGAAAATGGCACAAGTGTTTGAGCCCTGGACATCCATGGTGGAAGACCCCTGTGAAGCTCTGGCTTCGGCCTGACCTTGCACCATCTGTTGAGTCATTTAAAAAATGAACCAGAGATTGTTAAAATCTTTCTGTCTCCTTGTCTTTCTGTCAACCTTGACCCTAAAACAAACAAAAAAAAAAGTTTAAGGTTTCCTTTCTGTGGTCCCTTCCTTTCTAATACTTACCCCTTCATCTTCTAACAGCTGTTGGCTCTAAACTTTATCCTCAGATTCCTCAGGCCAATAGGTAAGCAATGCTGACTTCAAGGAAAAAGAACATGATAAAAGAAAGTATTGCTTTCTTCTAATGACTGACTACATTTTGTTGTGCTTTTTTTTTCCCTCAAAGACTTATTTATTTCAAGCCAGCACAGTGGCCTAGCAGCTCAAGTCCTCGCCTTGAATGCGCCAGAATCCCATATGGGCTCCAGTTCTAATCCTGGCAGCCCCACTTCCCATCCAGCTCCCTGCTTGTGCCCTGGGAAAGCAGTTGAGCACAGCGCAAAGCCTTGTGATCCTGCACCTGTGTGGGAGACCTGGAGAAAGTTCTTGGCTCCTGGCTTCTGATAGGCTTAACTCTGGCCCTTACGGTCACTTGGGGAGTGAATTGTCGGACGGAAGATCTTCCTCTCTGTATATCTGACTTTACAATAAAGATAAATAAATCTTTTTTTTAAATGACATCTATTTCAAAGGTACAGTTACAGAGAGGAATAGAGACAGAAAGAGGAAGAAAGAGATCTTCTACCCCTTGGTTCATGCCACAAATGGCTGCATGGTCAGGGACAGACCAGAAGGAAGTAAGCCCTAGGAGCTTCATCTGGTTTCCTGCATGGCTGCAGGGACCCAAGTACGTGGTCCATCTTCTGCTGCTTTGCCAGACACATTAGCATGGAGCTAGGTCAGAAGTGGAGCAGCTGGGACGTGACCCTACAGCCACAGGGAATGCTGGTTTACAGGCAGGTCCTTAAGCAGCTATGCCACAATGCAGGCCCCTCTACCTGCTTTTGGCCTCTCTCCACTGTAGTCAGAGAACTGGTTTCTGTATGCTGTCACAATTCTTAATGGCTATATGCAGAAGGGCTGTTTGGATATATGGTACTCCCATGACAAATTCAAACAGTCCTCAGAAGAGCAATCCTCTTAGTCACACTGGAAGGAGGCTCCAGATCATAATGCTGGGATAGGGAGTGTTCTCAGTAAAGCTGGAAGGATTAAAATTATTCAAGTATGTTTTTCAACCATAATGGACTAAAAATTAGAAGTGTGTATCTGAATTAAGGAAAATTTTGGCTCAGCCGATGACCTAGTGGCTAAATCCTTGCCTTGCACACACTGGGATGCTCCACTTCCCATCCAGCCTCCTGCTTGTGGCCTGGGAAAGCAGTCGAGCATAATCCAAAGCCTTGGGATCCTGCACCCGTGTGGGAGACCTGGAAGAAATAAGCTCCTGGTTTCAGATTGGCTCAGTTCCAGCCACTGTGGCCACTTGGGGAGTGAGCCAGCAGACAGAAAAGCTATCCATCTCTCCCTTCTATAAATCTGCCTTTCTAATAAAAATAAATAAATCTTTAAAAAAGGGCAAAATTCCTGATACATAGAAATTAGTACACTCCCAAATAATCAATAGGTCAGAAATCACAAAAGAAACTAGGAAACAAATTTTGAAATGGATAAAAATAAAACCACAATATACCAAATTTATGGAAGTGGTTTAAGTGGCACTCAAAAATTGATATTTATAAATGCCTATTTTTAAAAACAAGAACATTGGGGTACGCAATTAGTGTACAGTGAGGTAGCTGGCAGGGACACCAGCCTCTTGTACCAGAATTTCTGGGTTCAAGCCCCAGCTCCACCCTTACCGCCGGCTTCCTGCTAATGTACACCTTGAGAGGCAGGAGATGACGATCCAAGTGACTGAGCCCCTGCCACCCACATGAGACCTGGACTGAATCCCCTGGCCTTCATTTCTCCTGGCCAGCTCCGGCTACTGCAGATATTTGGGAAATGAACCACACTTTCTATGCCTCTCAAATTAATTCATTAAAAATAACATTAAATAAAAGCAATATTTCAAATTAATGACCTAGTCTTCCAATATTAAAACACTGGAGGGGGCCAATATTGTCATATAATCAGGTAAAGCTACTGCCTATGAGGCTGGCATCCCACATGGGTGCCACATTTGTGTCCCGGCTGCTCGCATTTTATTCCAGTTCCCTGCTAGTGGCCTTGGAAAAGCAGCAGAAGGAGTTCCAAGGACCTGGCTCCTGCAACCCATGGGGGAGGCCTGTGTGAAACTACTGGCTCCTGGCTTTCGCCTGGCCTAGCCACAGCAGTATGGCCACTGGAGGAGTGAACCAGGGAACAGAAAATCACTCTCTTTCACTCTTTTACTCCCTCTTTCAAATAAATTTGTCACACACACACACGAAAAGAAAAAAACTAAACTACAGAAAGCAGAAATGAGGAAATAAGCATTATGGTGAAAGACAGTGAAATACAGAACTAAAAGAAAAATGAACAAAAATGATACTGTTTTTCAAAATATCAATGAAACTAAAAATATCTAAGCTAGACAGAACAAAAAGGAGACTCAAATTGCCACGAATAAAAGAGAGTATTACTGCCAACCTCACAGAAACTGAAAGGACAGTTAAGACAATACTATAGGGCCCGGCGGCGTGGCCTAGCAGCTAAAGTCCTCACCTTGAACGTGCCGGGATCCCATATGGGCACTGGTTCTAATCCCGGCAGCTCCACTTCCCATCCAGCTCCCTACTTGCGGCATGGGAAAGCAGTTGAGCACGGCCCAAAGTCTTGGGACCCTGTACCCACGTGGGAGACCTGGAAGAAGTTCCTGGATCCTGGCTTCAGATCGGCGCAACACTGGCCGTTGTGCTCACTTGGGGAATGAATCATCGGATGGAGGATCTTCCTCTCTGTCTCTCCTCCTCTCTGTATATCTGACTTTGTAATGAAAATAAAATAAATCTTTAAAAAAAAGAGACAATACTATAAACAACTATATGTCAATTAGATAATTACATGAACAAACTTAGTATCACAAAAATTATCATAACTAACCTAAGAAGAAATATAAATCTGAATAAAGTATATATAGCTACTAAAAAACAACACAGGAAAACTGGTGTTTAGCCTACCAGTTAAGGTACCTGCATTTTATGTCAGAGTCCCTGGGTTCAATTCCCATTCCCAGCACTTGATGCTAGTTCCTGGTTAGTGCAGACCCTGGGAGGCAGCAAGTCATCATCCAAGTGTTGGGGGTCTGTCACATTTGTGGGAGACTTGGATTGCATTTGTGGCTCTTATTTTTACCTACGGTCCAGCCTGGGCCAATGCAGCCATTTGAGAATGAATCAACAAATCAGAGTTGTGTGTGTGTGTGTGTGTGTGTGTGTGTGTGTGTGTGTGTGTGTCCCTCTTCCCCACCCCCTCCCTCACTATGCTCTTACTTTCTCAATCTCTGGTATAAACCTATTTTTAAAATATTCTAGGGGTCAGAATTACAATAGAACACTTTAGTAAAGGTGCTGCCCATGGCATCAGTATCCCACATAGGTGTGCTGGTTCTGTCCCAGCTGTTCCAATTCCAATACAGCTTCTGCTAATGGCCTAAGAAACACAGCAGAAGACGAACCACATGTTTGGACCCCTACCATCCACTTGGGAAGACAGCAGATGATGGCCCTGCCATTTTTACAAGAGAGCTGGACGGATTTCCTGGCTCCTAAGCCTTGGTCCGACACAGTCCCAACTGTCGGGGACACCACAAATCACTCAGCCTACAGAAGCTATCTCTTTGTGACTCTTCTTAATAAAAAACCTAAAAAAAAAAAAAAAAGAAAAAAAAAACACCTATCTACCTTGTGACTATTCATGTTTCTTTTCATTACACTTATGACCTCTACCTCCTCTCCCCAGGGTGATTCTGGAGGGCCTCTGGCGTGTGATATTGATGGTGTCTGGACCCAGATAGGAGTGGTAAGCTGGGGATTGGACTGCCCTTCACCTCTTCCAGCAGTCTACACCAACGTGATATACCACCAAAACTGGATTAAGGCTACCATCTCAGGAAACAAGGCCTTGTGTGGCAACCATCTGGACTTACCTAACTTCTTAGTCCTTATTATTCTACTCTATTTTGCTTTTCTGGGACCCTCCTGTGCCTTTGGGCCTAACACAATACCAGGAAAATAGGCAATAGAGCTGAAGCTACTGGGGAATGAAAGGCTGGAACAGGAATTCATGAAGAATAAATCCCAGAGCAAAGAATTCAAAGTCACCGGGGGCCTACATGACCTCACTTACAACTTGAAGGGATTTTGTTTTTAAGGTTCTTGACTCCAGAACTATGTTTCAATGGTTAAAATGTGAGCAGCCAAAAAACAGGGCTGTTCCTTCCATGGTGGTATTTTATCTTTCTAACTAATGTACCTTGTAAGACAGGAAGGATGTCCTCTATGAGAAAATATTTGTGAACATAAATTAAATAGCTTTGGAGAGGCAGGCAAGGTAAAAAGCATCTGTAATGGCTCCCCACCCAAAAAAAAGGCCAGAAAGTATTATATTAAAGGTCTACTTCTTTCTCATATTTCATACTTTCTCACATACTTTCTCACAGAATCATGGGATTCTGACTTGTTCTATATTTTGGTTCGCACTTCCTCCAATAATCTACATTCTTCCTAACACTACTGTAATCCTCAGCATATAATAAAGGATTTAATGGAAAAAAATTTTTACGTATGTCAGCTCTGTGATTTTTCGGAAATTTTTACTTTTTAAAATACCAATGTTACTTCATACTAAAAATGAATTATGAACTCAAGACCTGAGTTCTTGGGGCCAGTGTAATGGCTCAGCAGGCTAATCCTCCACCGCCAAGCACTGACATCCTATAACTGCTGGCTCATGTCCCAGCCTCTCCACTTCCCATTCAGCTTCCTGTTTATGGTCTGGGAAAGCAGAGGAAGATGACCAAAAAGCCTTGGGCCATTGAACCCACATGGGAGATCTGGAAGAAGCTCCTGGCTCCTGGTTTTAGATTGGCTCAGCTCTAGCCATTGTGGCCTTTTGGGGAGTGAATCGGAGGATGGAAGATCTTTGGGCCATCCTCAACTGCTTTCCCAGGCCACAGAGAACTGGATGGGAAGTGGAGCAAGCTGATGAAAATCTCTCTTTATCTCTGTCTCTCCCTCCTCCTCTGTAACTCTTTCATGTAAAAATTAAATCTTAAAAAAAAAATAAAAGAACTAAAGTGAAATAAATGGGAAAACAAATTACATAATTTGAGCCATATGAACCATGAGGGCACGGCAAGAGAACACAGAGGCAAAGTCAAAGTGCCTGCCTGTTATTCTTCTGGGTACTTAGCTCAAAATGGAAGGCAACTGCTACACAGCCTAGTGCCTGGCAAAATGTTTCCCATGAACTGAAATCTCCAGCTTTTGGAGGGATCATTCCGCAAGTGAAAGAGCTCTCAAAAGAAGAGGACCCCAGTCTCACCATGCCAGCTACTACTAGTTGGACTCTCCTGGGAATGTGACTCAACAGTTGACTAGCAGGTAAAAGAACTCTCAGACCAGCATCTTAACTTAACAAATGCATTCACTACTGCATGAGGCAGATCCCTTCTCTGGGTTAGGCAGAATGTGAGCCACTCAACATGCACTTTCCAAAGCTAAGTGCCCACCAGACAACATACAGCATTCCAGGCACCAAGAAGAAAGAGTTCACAAACACACACCAAGCCTGCCCTCAAGGAGCTTACATTCCAAAGAGAATAGCCCAGTGCAAACTCAATGCATACTATATCATATACAAACAAGTCAGATAAAGATAAGTAAAAGCAAGGCCCAGCATAATGGCTTGACTAATCCTCCCCTTGTAAGAACCAGGATCCCATATGGGCACCAATTCAAGTCCTGGCTGCTGCACTTCCCATCCATCTTCTGCTTGTGGCCTGGGAAAGCCAGACATCTTAGGTCTGTACCTATGTGGGAGACCCGGAAGAAGCTCCTGGCTCCTGGCTCCTGGCTCCTGGCTCCTGGCTTCAGCTAGCTCAGCTCCAGCCATCGATGCCATTTCAGGAGTGAAGGAGCAGATGGAAGATCTTTCTGTCTCTCCTCTGTAAATCTGCCTTTCAAATAAAAAATCTTACAAAAGACAGAAAAGAGGCAGGATGGACATTTTCAGCTCAGATGGAGCTGTCAGGGAAGTTTCTCTGAGGTGGCTTCTCCAACATTGGCTAGAGGCCTGAAGGAAGCCAGGAAGCACCAATAAATACCTGGAAAAGTAGATTCCAGGCCGAGAGCACATGAACACAAAGGTTCCAAGTTTGGTGTTAGGCTTCTACAGGAATAACACGGAGGTCAACAGGGCTTGAACACTGTGAGTTAGGCGGAAGGGAATAGGAACTGAAGCAGAAAGCAAGCAGGCTCCATGTTCTGCAGAGTCCAGCTCACCTCAGGAATGAGTCTGAATTTTATTTTCAGTGAGAATGCAGGAAAAGACTGAGAGCAGAGGAACTATGAAAGAACAGCAGAGCAGAGAAGCCCCAACAGCTGTTCCAGAAGATCGTGGGAGGAACCTAAGGAGCAAACAGGGCAGTCAGGTGACAGTAGGGTCCGATTAAAAACCAGACAGCATAGAAATAAAGCTGAGTCAATCACTAGAGGGCAGCCATCTCCTGAACATCAGATTTCATGAGCCTATTTACCAGTTTATGTATCTGCAGTGTCCTTCTGTAATAAGGCTACACTGACCAAGATGACCAAAGAAAGGTACAAGCTGAAGGCTTTCAACATCTGACTTAGAATTTATTACTAATATACCCTTTTGGGTTTTTCCCTTGTTATCCATGCCTTCATTCTGTCTCAAGGCCTATGTCATATGGTCTCCACAGCCGAAATATCCTCCTTTGGTATAGCCAATCCAATTGCTTCTGTTCACTGATTAGAAAAGGAAGCAGTGAATATCCAAAAAATACATTAAAAGCACCACTAGAAAATGGTTTTAAAAATTAAAAGGTAATGAGTAAACTGTATGTTATATGATTTATATATCATTAAAGCTATTTTTTAGTGAACAAAGAAATTTATTTTCTGCCTAAACAAATAATGACTTGTCTGTGATATATTTAGACCTCTCTAAAGGCCTTCTAAACAATACTTATGGTGGCATAAGACATTTGAGCCATTTTTAAGAAATGGCTCAACACAGCTATATACACTTTCTATTTCTGATTAAATTGCTGAAACAGAACTGGAAAGCTTAAGCCAAAAGTACAATACACAGCATATGCTTATGCACTATGGGAGGCATAAAAAAAAGCATTTGCATTCACAAAACTAAAATGTCAAGAATTCACTGGTAACCCAATAGGTTTAGTCAGTGACACCCACAACTGGTCAAATGAAGAAATCAATAGGTGCATTTTCATATGCTACTTTGGGGGTTTCAGTATAGAAAAAAGTCAACTTTAACTTAGAGTGTTTTACTTTTTAATCGTTTTATCTTAGTATGCTCCAACTTTCATTTTCATATGACTTGAAGAATTTACTTAAAGTGGATTTTAGCAAAGAGAAGATGCTGAAAATCCGTTTGGCTATTTATTTTCTAAAAATGAAAAAAAAGTGCAGTTATTTATAGATCTTCTCTTCATAGCAAATAGATTATTTCAACAAATGACAAGTCGCTCCCCACACCCCCTTTTTAAAATTTATTTCACTAAGCTGTAAAGACACCAAAAAAGTTAGAACATTGGGAACTAGCACTGAGAACGCTGACAATCCTATGTGGAAGTCACAAATCCCATCTGCTCCAGGTCCAATTCAGCATCTGTGAGGGGGACCTGGATTAAGCTCCTGGCTCCTGGCTCGGGCCTGGCCCAGCCCCAACAGCTGCAGCCATATGAGAGGTAAACCAGTAATCAGAAGGCCTCACACTCTCTCTCTCTCTCTTTCTCTCTCTGCCTTTCAAGAAAATAAATTGTTTGTAATTTGAGACTATCACCTTAAAAGGATTTCAATAATGGGTATTCTGTCTTTTCAGACGCTTCGTTTCATTATGAAGCTGTAACATTCCTCCCATAAAATTTGACTATGTATAGTTTGCTTATATACTAGAAATTACCTGCCTGCAAATTTCTACCCTGTTCCACTGGCCAGAAGGGGAAAACAGAAATGAATCATTTATACTCTCAATATACAAGAAGAAATGTTCATTTTCTGAAGATTGAAATCTTTGATGAAAATTCTAGTTGCCTTTCAGGATAATTATCTTCAATTCAAATCTCTCCAGTATTTAGAACCATTCTGTGTGGTTGGAATAAAGTGAGATCTAGTCTTACGCCATTCTGAGTGCCATTCTCATGATATTTAGCCCTTGCTGTTTTATTTTGGAATTAACTCTCAACATAGGAAAAGATAAGGGCCTGCAGCTTCAGAATGTTAGATAGCCTGCTTTTAGGAACAGGTGTTTGGCCTAGCCATTAAGATGCTAATTAAAATGCCAACAGCCCACATGCCTGGGTTCAATTCCCAGCTCCTGTTTCTGATTCAGCTTCTAGCTAATGCAAACTGTTAGGCAGCAGACATGGGTCAAAATAATTGACTTCCTGCCACCCACAAGGGAAACCTGGACTAAACTGCTGGCTGCTGGCTTTAGCTCTGACCCAGTCACAGCCAGTTCAGGCATTTGGGAAGTGGAACAGAAGATGGGCTCTCTCATTTTCTCCTTCACTGTATCTCAAATAAGCAAAATCTGGAAAAAAAAGAAAAAGCAAAAAAATGGCACTCTGCTTTTCAGTGGGAAGACAAACGTAAGTGAAGTTGGGTAACAAACAATATTTTTATTAAATCGGATATGAGTTGATGGACTGCATGAGGGTGAAATGAGTAGGTAGGTGATTCAGAAAGATGGGAAAAATAAAGAGAAAAGAGAAGTCTGGGCCTGGCATGACAGTTCAGAAGCTAAATCCTCAACTTGCACACACTGTAATCCCACATGAGCACCGATTCTCCACTGCACCAGCTGCTCCACTTCCCATTCTGCTCCCTGTTTGTGGCCTGGGAAAGCAACTGAGGATGGCCCAAAACCTTGGGACCCTTCACCTATTTGGGAAACCCAGAAAAATCCCCTGGCTCCTGGCTTCAGATCAGCTCAGTTCCTGCCACTGTGGCTACTTGGGGAGTGAA